AATTTCATGCATGACTCTTGTTAATTGGCTTGCCTGTGTGTGTGTGTGTGTGTGTGTGTGTGTGTGTGTGTGTGTGTGTGTGTGTGTGTGTGTGTGTGTGTGTGTGTGTGTGTGTGTGTGTGTGTGTGTGTGTGTGTGTCTTTGCCTTGCCTTGCCTTGTGTGTCATATATCTGTTCCTGCACTCTAGAGGATGTGTGTTTCAGACCCAGGTCTCACTGGCGGCTTTACAGGGATTGTTTATTTCAAAACTTCCAACAGTCACAGCTGAGATTTCCTTTCTATCGCTTTGGAATATCCTCGAGACAGAAGAAGTAGTGATGGACTTACATGAAGCTAGCTCCTGTTGCTAAGCTAGCTCTAAACAGGAGGAAATACATATTAATCAGGCCAGAAATCAAATCCTTTGCAACTCTTAGGACAGAATAAGTAAAGAGTGAACAGATAGAAATTGTGCAGAATAGTCTATATACAAGTTTTTGGAATATTGATATATATAAGTTGCACAAAATCAGGATAATACATTATGTAGGCAAATAGTACATTTTAAAATAGACGTTATTTGAGACATGAAAACACATCATTAGAGTTATGTTGGAAACAGCTTGCTGAACTGAGGGAGTAATTAGTCAAATTCAGCTTCATCATATACTTTTTAACCGAGCGCCTTGGCCTTTTGCCATGTTCGGAAAATGTTATCTTAGCCCACTGACTGACTAATTAACTGGTTAGCTGAGCACTAATGATTGAGCGCCTGACTATGTTGCCCAAAGCAGCAGCACTGGTGTGTGTCCATGTGTGTGTGTGTGTGTAATAACATGAGTCTTTGGCTGTGTGTGTGTGTGTGTGTGTGTGTGTGTGTGTGTGTGTGTGTGTGTGTGTGTGTGTGTGTGTGTGTGTGAGTGAGAGGGAGCTTATGACTCGAATCTCTTCACTTTCTGCATTCTGTCCCCGTGGGTTGACAAACATCGCAAAACGTCAGCGTTAAACCTCGCTCTGGGGGACAATCAGACGCTTGTTTTTACAACCGGGTGGGAGTGGCACTTGATGCTTGAGTTATGAATCTTTGGAGAAAAATCATTGCAAAATGGATCAAGTTCCATCTCGGCAAAATACAAATGATAAATCCTGTGACAAAAAATGCCACAAACCGGCTTAATTCAACCCCCATTAAAGTCTGGATTGATCAGCCTGTTTTTACAACCTGATTCGTCTCAATTTGTTGAGAACACAAACTGAATCAGATTATGTATTGATCCTGAGCCCTGGGTGAAATTTGTCATTCTTCTGTTCATGAGGATAAATTACTGTCGAACAGCACGTCAATTGATGTGTATGAGTCCTCTCTTTTTTATTTCATGGTGATTTTAAGAAGTACATTATCTACTTTCTAGCCATAATCCAAACGTATCCATTCATAAAACATTACAATTAAGGGGTTTTTATTCCAGAAAACACTGACCCATTACCAATCTCCAAGTTCCGATCCATAAAATAATACCTCTTTAAACTATAAATGTTATTTGTTTAAGGGAAAGGGACTTGGTCACACCAGCTTTCAAATTAAGAGCAGATGTCATATTATTTGATGGTCCTTATCTTTCCTTTTGAGAGCTTATTGCCACACGATAAAGCAGTAGAGATCTGCACCTCTCTCTCACACACACACACACACACACACACACACACACACACACACACACACACGCACGCACACACACGCACGCACGCACGCACGCACGCACGCACGCACGCACGCACGCACGCACGCACGCACGCACGCACGCACGCACGCACTACACACACACACACACACACACACCACACAGACACACACACACACACACACACACACACACACAGACACACACACACACACACACACACACACACACACACACACACAGACACACACACACACACACACACACACACACATTAAGATTCACAGAGTGTGTGTTCAAGGCCATCCCAGCGAACATGGCAACCCTTGTCCATGCACAGATGATATTGTCATAGCAACAGCTTCCCGCCTCCTCACCGCCTACGCTTCTCTCTTTCTCTCTTTCTCTCTTCCTCCTTCCTCTCCTCCCTCTCAGCTACCATCACTTTGTGGAAAGAAAAGCGAAACAGAAGAACAGACATCTGTGTTTGGTGGACTTTGCTTGACTTGTGAATGGATTACACAGTGGGTATTATTCTGAAAACTAACTCTTTCAGTGCATTGGCTTAGTCGTCCTGCAAACTTTCAACAGTTATATTTCTTTAGCGTTATGTAAGCAAGATGAATGGTTTTACAACAATGGTGAGGAATTAGAGAAACCTGGTTAGCCTGGGTTCCCGAATCTTTTTAAACAAGACATTCAAGGACTTTCCATGCCTTTAAATGCAAGTTGCATCTTTGGAGAAGCTCAGGTCAGAAGAATGTCATTGCCATTTCTACACTGTAGTTTATGTGCATATGACAATAATATCTTAATCTTGAATCTTTGAAGAACCCAACATGGCATAGTGTGCAACAAGACCTAGCAGAAAATAAATACCCAAATACCCCAATCCTAACCCTAACCCCAGTTTGCACAAACTACATCAACACGTTTCTGCTATCTATCTATCTATCTATCTATCTATCTATCTATCTATCTATCTATCTATCTATCTATCTATCTATCTATCTATCTATCTATCTATCTATCTATCTATCTATCTATCTATCTATCTATCTATCTAAGCCCAACCCTAACTCTAAACATCAAAAACAGATGTCCTCTCTAACTGTATTTCTTCTAGTAGTCTGGTTTGTTGTGTTCATTGTTTCCATGCATCATTGCGTTTAGTATTCATTTTCAATTAAGACTCTCACTTGCATTGCTGAGCAAAAGAAAAAGAAAACAGCCCTCATCATCATTCACACACACATACTGTCCAGACTGAGCATGCATACGGATGTACACTCGTACCCCACGGAGGAAAAAAACCGTCTCTTTGAAAAACCGGTCGGGTGGAAGTCCTGCGGTTAGATTTTGGGAAGAAGTTGTTCTGGGACTTAATTAGTAAAAGGCCCCACATTTGAGCAGGCTAAGTGCCCATGAGCTCTCAAATCTGGGACAAACTAAGGCACACACACACACACATACATACAATGGCAAAACCCGTGCATTCGCTCTCACATTAAGCTGCAGAAACAACAATATATAGAGGGGTGTTTGCAACAGGGACAGGTCCTTTAGATATCAACCAACAGCATATAGAGATTACAGGATTACTGCACAGTATCAACGTCTGTGTGCTTTAAACAAGCCTCTGTTATCTTCCTGTTTAATCCACCTCTCAGCTGTTGATCCGTATGGTTGCTATGCTCCAAACAAACAAGTGCATTAACTAATGCAATAAATCATAAATCAAAAATAAATACGCTACTTCCAGCACAGCTTCGGGACAGAATGACAATAGTGGAAGATGGAAAAAGTGTATCTGTCAAGAAACTATAACTCTTTCAAAACACAAATCAATAACATTACATTACATGTTACTAGTTAGACGCTTTTATCCAAAGCGACTTACATACTCAATACTAATTCCCACAGGAGCAATTTGGAGTGAAGTGTCTCAGGGACACAACGACATGCTGACTGCAGTGGGGTTTGAACCTGTAACGCACACCGAACACCAACGCACTAGTCCACTGCGCCACACGCCTCCTATAACAGAGGTGGATTATGCTTTTTTCATAATTCTAGCAAAGTTACCGTGCTCCAGCCATCTTTAAATTCCACATTGGAGAGTGATTGATACCGGAAACAAACCCCTTTATATGAAAAGCCCATTTCTTGATTCATCCATCACTAACTTTGCTAGTTTTAGCATGACTTTCAACACACATGTTTACATAACCTGACAGATATCACCAAAGAAGCAGGCCAAATAAATGAAATAAAGCCTTCTTCTAACTCCTTTCTCAATAGGAACAACATCTTGTGTGTCAGCTCACAGCAAAAACACACATTATTTGCTAGTTTAACATGACTTCATCCTGACACATATCACCAAAAAAGCGGGCCAAATAAATAATAATAATAATTCATTCTATTTAGAGGCGCCTTTCAAAGCCCCCAAGGACTCCTTACAATTCATAAAATATTCTAAGGAAAGGTTTGAGACAGTACAAAAGGGCCGTAACAGGGAACGTGAAATAAAGCCTTCTTTCTAACCCATTTCTCAATATAGGAATACAAGAACAAAAACAATATTTTGTGTCAGCGCACCGCAAAAACACACATTCAAACAGCATTCAACCCAAAGTATTGAGATTATCATCTGGCCGGGGACAACAGCTGGAAATTAGCAATGTTGGCTAAAGCTGCCTCATTTAGTGTTTTTTGTGACAGTTGGATAATGGGGACTGTCCACGACACAATAAACAAATGAACTCAAACTAAAGAGTCTATCAGTAAGACAATTCACACAAACAGCAGTCAATCACTTACTTGCAGTGCTTGTGAGGCCCTTTATATGAAAGGCCTATTTCTTTAGTCAATCATCACAAACTTTGCTAGTTTTAGCGTGACTTTCAACACAAACATCCCCCAAAAAAAAGAGGCCAAAGAAATGAAATAACTTCTAACCCCTTTCTCAATATCAATACATGAACAACAACAACAATATTTCGTGTCAGCGCACAGCAAAAACACACATTCAAACACCATTCAACCCAAAGAGTCTATCAATAAGACGATTAACCCCTTTATATGTGCTATATAAATAAAGATTGATTGAGATATGAAAGGCCTATTTCTTGATTCATCCATCACACACTTTGCTAGTTTTAGCGTGACCTTCAACACACATTTTTACATAACCTCCCCAAAAAAAGCAGGTAAATAAAGCCTTCTTCTAACCCCTTTCTCAGTAGGAACAACAACCCTTTGTGTCGGCGCACAGCAAAAACACACATTCAAACAGCATTCAATCGAAATAGTCTATCAGAATGCCAGTCACTTAC